AGGGTCAAAATCACGCATTTGCCCGAAACTTGACCCAAAGAGGTTATTCGGCCCGCTGATGCCGAATATCACATTGGTTTTGAACCGTAGCGTCATTTTCTCTTGTTACGGTAGCTACACGGTAACGGGTGTAAAACATGGTTTCTGCCTGAAACGAGTGTACGGCGATTCGGACGATCGTGAAGTTTAAAATTTGAAGTTTGCACACACGACCACCGCCGCGCGCTACACACCCTGCTGCGGCTTTTGCCTAAGCAAAGCGCAGGGGAAAGATACAGTTGCCTAATTCTCCACGTTCGACTTTCAGTGAATCTTGGCATTACGATATGCTTGTTTCGAGATGTTAAGCCTCCACCAAGATTGTTACAACTTTTATTTCGGCTGACGTTTCGGCCAACTCGCCTTCGTCGGAGCCTGTAAGTGAGGAACAAATGAGATTTATCCTCCCAAACGTCTCATCAAATGCAAGGAACAGACAAAAGTTGGCTGGAAACGGAAACGATGCTGCCTAGGGTTAACAGCCCCACCTGAGACTTTGCCGAGTGCGGGTCACGAACCACCACTGACGAACGTATGAATGATTAGTGAGCTAGGTTCCCGGGTTGCTGCGGTTGTGGGGGTAAACTAACGAACTAACGGTTGTGGGGGTAAACTAACGAACTCGCGCCCTTCCTGGAGCAACCCGGGAACCTAGCTCACTAATCATTCATACGTTCGTCAGTGGTGGTCCGTGACCCGCACTCGGCAAAGTCTCAGGTGGGGCTGTTGATCCTAGGCAGCATCGTTTCCGTTTCCAGCCAACTTTTGTCTGTTCCTTGCATTTGATGAGACGTTTGGGAGGATAAATCTCATTTGTTCCTCACTTACAGGCTCCGACGAAGGCGAGTTGGCCGAAACGTCAGCCGAAATAAAAGTTGTAACAATTTTGGTGGAGGCTTAACGTCTCGAAACAAGGATACAGTTGCCATTTGTGATTTTGACCCCCTACCGTAATCCTACCGTAACTCCACCGGATGTCGCTGTCGCACGAAATAAACATCATATTCGTGTTCAGCGTACCAAATAACCTCCCTAGACGAAGTTTTAGCGAAATTCACGATTTTCTTTTTTTGGGTCAACTAATGTGGAATAGCGCCAAAAATTTTTCGGGGGCGTGGCTGACGCCACAAACCCTTTTTCCAGATTTTAGGGGTTGGGGACCAGCAAAAATTTTGAGAAGCACCCCTAAGAATTTCTTCGGAGTACGCGGCTGACGCCACGCACCTTCATTTGGAAAAAATTTTTGCCGCACCCCCCCCCCTCCGGACGGAAATTTTGGGATCGTCACTGGAGCATGCCAAAAAAATTGTCTTCTCTTTTACGAGAGGATGTAGCAATCTGTGCAGCCGTTGCGGTCAGTGCGGCAATATGAAACAACCAATGGTACACTAGTTGCGAAAAGAAAACTTTAGACAATCAACATTTTTAGAGTAGGGTAGATCCATTCGCTGTCAAGACGAGCCCCATCCACGCTCGAGGCCTATTTTCGACACGCCAAGAAGCTATGGATGCCTGTCGAGATGGCCCTTCGCTCACTAGTCTGACTCAGTTAGTACAGACATGGGAAAGAAATACCGCGGACATTTGCATTTGTGAAATTTAAAAGATGGTACATATGAACCCTGCTCTGACATGTTGCGAGTCAGACATAGTCTTTTTCGTCTTCGACACCCCTCTTCCATCATCTATAGTAGATTCGGAAAGTCGTAACGATGGCGACGCGCGCCACATGCACGCCACTTCCGAGAATCGCAAGTTTTTGGTTTTCATCTCTGATCAAAGTATTTTTTCTTGCTTACTTATGATGCTATTTACCTTCTGACTCGACAGGATTAGCGGCTGGGGGCGGAGCTGCTTGGTCTCTGTACTTCTTTCTTAGGCCTGCTCTCTAATTACTTTACCAACACGAGCGTGGGAAAGGCGGAGCTTCAATCATTAGAAAGCACGATCGCGAAAGTGGTACAGAGCCAGGCGAACCGACCGCGGGGACGTGAGCCCCACCACTAGTCGCCAATCTTGGTGATTCAGAGAGACACTGGAAGTGACTGACAAGGGAACGATACTCGGTGTCCGTGGCTTTTTGAGATGAGATGTATACCATTACACTCGTCTTCGAACGCTGATTCCGAATCTGACTTCCGTTTCTGCTAATCGCTTCAAAGATGTTATAATGGATCGCGCGGAGTTTGGCTGCCTAGTGATATATGGTCGGAGCGCGAGCGACAGCGTTACGTTGTGGTCTAGTGGTTAGTGCGATAGCCTCATGAGTCGATGCAGGTGTAGGTTCGAGTCCCTCTGTATTTTTCAGTTTTGCCTTGCCTCAGTTAACCTTCTTTCGCATCCTCAAGCTGAGTGAACGCCCTTACTCTTCCAAAAAGAATTTGGAATGAATGATTGGTGTTTGCGCTGAAATGTATCCAGTGATTATAAGTCGAGTGAATTTTCTTGAACAAGTAAGGCAGTGCAAAGGTAAAAACACAAAAGGATTTGAACCTACACCTGCGTTGACTTATGAGGCTATCGCACTATTTACTAAACCAGAACGTGGCCGCAGTAGAGGCCGTTCCAATGACCACAATTCCTTTGGGCGGCCAAACTTGGCTCAAAATTCGCTATAACTTCTTTCAGAGAAACGATTAGCAGAAACGGAAGTCAGATTCGGAATCAGCGCTCGAAGACGAGTGTAACGGTGTGCATCTCGTCTCAAAAGGTCACGGACATTGAGCATCGTTTCCTTGTGAGATGAGCGTTGATGCAATAGCTTCTTGCATGAACGTTTTATGCTCCTATGGGCGCAAAGTCCGCAGTCAAATTCGTCGTCACGACTTTATAAATGATCTATACGCTTCTGAGTCATATCTAAATTCCCACAATCCACAAGCTCCTTCAAATTGTGCAGTGGTAACCTCCAAGCCCTCCCTCTATTCTGTAACTAATTGTAGGATACTTGCTTGCATTTGAAGACTCTGGGTTTTGCTAGATGCTGCCCAGAGGATACGTCTGCAAACACGGCGGATGGCCGCGATGACCCAACTGTTTCCGGGTGTAACTTGTACCGCAGCACGCATGTGACGGTTCAGTGGTTTTGAGGACCCTGTTTGTATATACCTGTGCTAACACTAGAGGGGATTGTAACGATTTATTAGACAAAATGATCCAGCCAGAGGTATGACACATGACAATGTGAAGACCGAGGATAATATTGGCCAGCAGGGAGGTGGCCCGAATGGGCGCAATGTCAAGTTTACAATATAAAAATAATGACGACAAAGGGGGGGTGAAATTTGGGCAGTCGCGTGTTTATCACAACAGCAAAATAAATTCCAAAAGCCTAGATTTTGATTTTGAATCATGATTGAATCTAGTGCATTGAAATGCGTAAGGCCATTGCTTAATGGACATTCCTCTTTTTTTTAGATTCGCTCTCAGCAGTAAGGTGCATTCGTCCACAACAGTGTCACGACTTCGCAAGCTTTGTGATGTAAACATAGTGAAGTTTACTTTATCAATAGTCGGAAGTGCGAGGAGACTTTCCGGCAAGGCTTCAATGGCTGCCGACAGTGCAACTACAGAAAAGTGCACAAATTCGATCACAATCACAAAGCTTCAACAAATATGTGATCTCAAAAGTGCTATTTTCAGATAAGGGCACAACCCGTGTTGCGCTGTTTCTCGTCCCTAGGTTTTCTCTACGCAAAATGGCAGCAAGTGCCTGTTGGATTGTTGAGCTTGAAGGCACCGTCCACACAGATTTTCGACTTCCACGTTTTTATCGTTTCAGGGCCTTCTCATGTCCTTGATTCCGAATATGAAGTCGAGAATGTGCAAAAACCCCGATAATCCCCGTTCTGGAGAACCCACAGGCCGGCTTTCCGGAACAGTGATTGGATGGGCGCGCACAAATGGGGGGGGGGGCATGGCTGGGGAGTCCTCGTGCATCTTCACTATTCCGAAGCGATTTTCTCGCTTCTGAAGCGGCATTTTGCGCCGCGACTTGGGCATTGGATTGATTGGGAGCCCTACTATTATATGCTGCCAAAAGCTAAACACCTCAACTTAGGGTGGACGCTGCCTTCAAAAGCACCGTACGCCCTAAGTTGAGGGCCTTGAGCTTTTGACAGCTTTTGATAGTAGGACCCCTTTCAACTGCCCAAGTCGCGGCGCAAAATGTTCGGAATAACGAAGATGCACGGCCCCCAGACGGCACCGCCCTCCCCATCCAGCCCGCCCAACGTGCGGCCATCCAATCACCGTTCTGGAGAACCGGGAGAACCCTGCGGGTTTTTCAAAACGGGATTATCGTTGTTTTCGCGGTTTCTCGACCTCATCTTCGTAATCAGGGACATAGAATGGCCCTGAAACGACAAACCTAGAAGTCGAGGATTTGGGTGGACGGTGCCCTTAAGCTGAACACTCAAGCTTCCAGTTTCCCTCTGGGCACAAACTGTGAATATTTGACGGCAATAAGCGTATACGAAGGCGTAATTTCCAACGTTGTGTGATCACGTCCTCAAGAGCTGACTTTCGTCAGCTGCGCGCGGTTGCGAAGCGTACGCTGGTTTTCATGGTCCATTTTTTTCCAAACTTCGAAACGTTTTTTCAAGAAGGGAAGAGGGGTGTTTTCCTGGATGTGTGCTGGCTTTTGTGTTTTACCTTATCGTTTATCTTGTTCATTGTATTTTTACAGCTCAGCCTAGAACCGATGTGTTCGTATAACTCGGTCTACCTTTTTTATTCGTTTCTTGTATTCTTTTTCGTTTGAAGTTATTGTTGTCTTTACTGTTGTTTGGCATGTTTATGCTTTGCTTACGTTCCACTTACCAAGTCATTTCGTCATTTTTCATTGTGGTGAAGAGATTCACCTTCGAAATTCGCTCTTCCTTTTCCTTCTCTAAATACTGTCACGTTGATGGTTAAGTGAAGAATGTGTAGCAATTTATCTTTACTTCTTTTCTTACTTCAGGTGCGATTCCTTCTCTAGCCCTCAATGGTCAATGCTACCAGTGAAAATGGTTGCTGTAATGCGACAGCAGAACTATCGACACTGACTCCTGAAGATGGAGCTAAAGTGAGATTTTTTTGCGCTTTCCAAACGTAGTTGTTGTTTGTGCGTTTCCCAGTGATGTCGGTTTGCCCGTCTAGTTTTCTTCTCATCTTATTTTTCAGAACTCTTCTGATAAGCCGGGTAGATGTGGCCTTGATATTCCACATGATTCTGATACGAACGGGGTCGAACTGCCTTCTCCCGTCGGCTCTGAGTGTTGGCGTAATCCGGTTAGTTGCTAGTATAGTCAGTTTACGAGGAATTTCTTATGTTCGAAATTCTGTGATCAGAGTTTTGCTGTTTGAGTTTTACTCAATCTTGACAAGACAGTATGTTTGATTAGATTGCTCATCGCATTGTTCTACCTTGTTTTTCCTATTACTCCTCATACAGCAACCACAAATTTCTCATACAAATCACCGGAACTTCCGCAGGACAAGCCAAATTTGCGGAAGTTCCGCAGGATTTTGTTCACTATTGCAAAAATGAAAACGTTGAAAATCGGAACTTTCTCGGGATGTTCATGCCAAACTGGTTGAAAACCAGAACTTCCGCAGGACCTTCTTCAAAATCCTGCGGAAATTCCGAAAAATGCCAGAGGTTCCGCAGCACTTTGGCCTGCCAGAACTTCCGCAGAACTTTGAATGTGTTATCTCGTGATGTGACCTCGCTAACAACCAGAGTGCATCATCGAACATGTTAGTCGTACAGTCTGCCCCAATCCGAACCAGGCCAAAATTGGCGTGGCGGGAGACCGCGTCGCTAGGGTTTCGCGGTCACGCCCACGGCCTACTTCTCTGCTCTCTCTTCAATCTTTTTGCTCTCTCCGACAGCGCGCACATGCAGCGCAGGCCGCTAGCGCTGCGAGCGCGCAAATTTACGCCGACGGTTCGGCCTGATCCCGATTGGGGCAGACTGTAGCGTAGAGGATAGTAGGTGGGTCTCACAGTCAATAGAGTGAGGTTCAAATCTCACTTCGGTGTTCTCTTTTGCTGTTGTGGTTGGCATTCTTCGGAACTTCCGCAGGACCTCATTTCGGAACTTCCGCAGCACGTTTACGGAACTTCCGCAGGTGACCCGGCGGAACTTCCGCAAACGCTCTGCGGAAGTTCCAGTGATTTGTCTGAGTTGTTTGGAAAGAATTTTTGTTTCTGGTCCTCTGACAGTTTTTGGATCTTTGCAAATCAAACATTATCATTCTAGAATGCTTGCGATGCCTTCTTGAAAGTCGAGTCAATGTTGAGCGAAGGAGCAAGCCTCATAGATGTTCTCAAAACGCTGTACCCTGGCATTGAAGAGCCACCCGAAGGATGGTCGGATCACTTGGTCAGTATTTTCATACCTTGCTTTAGTCTTTGCTTTCCTTGTTTTCAAGATTCTTTTTCTTCATTTTTTGTGAAATGTGAAGGCCAGGTGGAGTGTTTTTCGATTTGCATTCCATCTCTCGATTTTTGCGTATGTTGCAGATTATGTCCATTCTTACTGAAATTATTGACCGTCCGCCTAGAAGAGAGAAACTTACAGCTTATAATACTTTTGATGACGCTGTAGAGCTGTTCAGGTAAGCTTTCGCACTTCCTCTTCTAGGCTTGTCTATCTTTGCATTTGATCTGTGTGATGAATTCAGAACACGGAAGCGCATTTTGATGTTGACCGGTGCAGGTGTATCTGTGTCTTGTGGTATACCGGATTTTCGCAGCAAAGATGGTAAGCTACCTGATCTTTTCGCAACGCTGGATGCGCTCCTACACTCCTAACGCTGATGTTTTAGGTATATATGCACGTCTACATGTTGACTTTCCCGATTTGCCAGATCCAACATCTATGTTTGATATTCGCTATTTTATCCATGATCCAGCTCCATTTTATGACTTTGCTATGGTAAGTGACCGCTTAGCTCTTGCGCAGAAGTCCTCAAGCAGCAGATAATTCTTTCTCTTGCAGGAAATATTCCCAGGACAATTTGAACCCTCAATATCACATAAGTTCATTCGGCAGCTTGAAGTGAACAACCAGTTGCTGAGGAACTACACGCAAAATATCGATACTCTTGAAAAGCAAGCTCATATAGAGCGAGTAGTAGAATGTCATGGTAAGTTCGCTGGAACATTGCTTCATTCTTGTACCTAATTTTTCAACTGTGTGTCTTGAATGTTATATTTTTTCAATACTTTTACTACCGCGTTCATCACTCTTTGATAAGCAACTATGGTCCATTCAACCTGGATCCACTAATAATATTGAATCTTTGCCACTCTTAGTGGGTACAGAAGACGAATGCATGGGTTTCTTGGATTGTTTCTTGCTTGCGAGGGCTTGTCTGTAGCTAACTGTCGCTTCAGGAAACTGTACTGCTACAAAAAGTATTAGATATTCACTTGTACAGTTGTTTTTATCAAATTTTTGTCCGCATGGGTATCTGGGATCTACTGTATTGAGTATTAACGCAGTATACGTATAAAACTCATGATTTTGTAATTTTAGGCTCCTTCGCGAAGGCTACTTGCCTCAATTGTTCAGCGAAGTTCGATGGTGATGTGATAAGAGAAGATGTTATGGCTAAGGTAAAGTTTGTGTCCTTTTACAGTTTATTCGAATTTGAATTCTGCGCCTTGCATTGATAAGCGCGCGAGCAGGAGAAGCGTTGTCTCAGAGCGCTACAAACTTCTCTCGGTATTGAGTGAGCGCTCACCCGCCCTAGTATTTCCACTCATTTTTGAAGTTACTTTTATCCACTCGTCTTGTCTTATGGAGATGATAAAGTATCAACGAAAGAAAAGCGCTGAGCAAGGCTGCTAGTCCATAGTCTTACGCGAGGAGGGCTTGCACATGTAGTTTCAAGGCACGGTGCAGTTTTTCGGTAATTACATCTAGGGTATACATCTTTGTCTTTGCAGCGTGTAGCACACTGTCCGCTGTGTACCGTTGGAGTAATCAAGCCAGATATCGTTTTCTTCGGTGAAGACCTTGGAAAAGATTTTCATACTCAAATGGCTATCGATAAAGACGAAGTGGATTTGTTAGTAGTTATCGGTATGTCTAACTCTCTATCGTAAGTTCGACTAACGTTTTTCACGCAGTCGTTCTTCAGGTTCTTCACTGAAAGTTCGGCCAGTTTCTTTGATTCCATTCAGCGTCAATCCTAATGTGCCTCAGATTTTGATCAACAGGTAAGTCCCTGCTTGTTGAAACACTGTCCTAAGATCAAACGCTATTATTGTGTTTGCTTATTCACCTAAAATGCAGGTCGTAAGATAGATTATGTTTATTTGGAATTATTCTCTCTTACAAGTCTGCTCTATCGGTCATTTCTGCAGGGAACCCCTCTCAGGATACAGAGCAGACATTGAGTTACTTGGAAACTGTGATGATATTATTGAGGATATTTGCTTAGCTCTCGGCGGCTCGTTCGTCGAAATGTTGGAGACACATCGTAAGCTTGATTATCATTTTGCGTCTTCTTGCTACTCATACCATTATCATGTTAGAAAGTAAGCTGAAGGAGAGATCAAGCGCAGCTGCCGCAAATGTCACGTTCAATAACCAACAAAGTGGTACATCGACCGAGACAGCTAGGAGAAGGAAATGCATTACAGAAGAGGAATTCATCCAGGTAAAATGGGAAGCAGATTAGAGTTTATAGCTGCAAGAACGCTTCTCTCTTTCAGATCATGAAGCGGCTACAAATCTCAGATAAAAGTGATGGAAACGGTGAACCTGAAGAGGTTGCAGTGAAACGACCGCGACTGGAAGACATGTATGACAGGCGGTATATACCCGTGGCGAAGCATCTTCCAGAGCATACATATTTCCAGGTATATCATGTTTGCATTATCAGGTCGTTTTCTGCTCTAAGGATGTTCTCTTAAGGTTTCTACAAATAGAGCTGTATTTCCTGGAGCTGAACTCTATTATGATGTTGAAACCGGTGCCATTTGTCAGCCGACTTGTTATCGGTAAGTGTTTCACTCTTATTTTGTAGGGCTGTGAATATCGTTGATTGCGCTTTTACGACTGAATGTATCACGTAGGTTCACAGTAATTTTCTGTGAGGGGGAAGTTTCCTCCAGATGAGAAGCTACTTGTTAGAATGCTCTCCATATTTTCCGCTACTCCCCCCCCCCTTTCCACTCATTCCAAGTTTCAAAGAGGCCGTATGACAAAGCTACTCAAATGCAAATTTCGTAGTAGCAATTGTTTCTAGTTAAATGCTGCGCCATTTTATGTCTTAGACTGGATCTACGATGATCTCGAGGTTGGAAGCGGTCTGAGATATAGAATTATGCAGCAACTTTATTGCAAGCAATTTGGCCAACTATAAAATCTCGCATTTGAGTAGCTTTGTCACACGGCCTCTTTGAAACTTGCAGCGGAGGAGGGAAGGAGAGGGGTGAAAACTTGCGGAAAATCTGGAGAGCACTTCAGAAATCATGTAGCTTCTCATGTGGAAAAGAACTGTCTCCTGTCATCTACTGTTTTCGTGTTTTCTTCCTTTTTTTCCTGCAGAGTATAGTGAATGACAAACTTTTCCGATCAAGGAATCTTTTCAAAATTTCGTAAATCTTGCTAGTGTTTTCAGCAGCGTTGATTATGCACATATAAATTTTTGCAGTAACTAATCACTTTATACAGTCGTTATAGTCCGGACGGCGGCGCACACTTTGGAGTGGACAGTGATGATGAAGACGACGATGATGAACTTGAAGATGATGATGATGACCAAAGTTGTGCGGGTATGGGCAGCCGTGCATGTAGCATGCCTGACACGTCTGGGGTGTGTCTGTTTATATATTCCCAATGCTTAAGAGGAGTTCTTGTCACGCTCATAACACCGTGCTTCTAAGGAAATCACCCTGTTTATGTGTGCATCCTCTATGCTTCTACATATAGCGAACAGAAGGGCTGAGCACTCTTTATATTGAAATTTGTAGGGAGTAAACTCCGACACGGATGTGCGCGCAGCATCTTGTGAACCATCAGTTGATGTGGAAGCGAAAATATCAACCAGAGAGTTCCATCAACAACTTAATGAATCGACATTGACAGAAGAAGGTGAAGAAGACGGTGAAGATCCATGAAGAGAGGATTAAAGCCGCATTGATGACTCATTTTGTAAGGATTTCTTAACAAAGAGATTTATACAGTATTAATTGATGGTTTAAACTCCAGTTTAACAATTATCACCACATTCAGTTTTACGTTACGAATTTTTATGAGAATCTTCATGAAGATACGCAGTTTAAGTGATCGTCGCATTTCTTGAAATGACGAGTTAAATAATGATCCTTCTCCAGGAAGTTGCCTTAGTCATAGTTTTATTCTCTTCTGTGCATTCTTCCTACTCTAGAAGCTGGCTTCAGCCCCTTATTTTCCCTTTTACTTTTCCCTTTCTTTTTCTTCTGTTTCAGTTTTCAAACCTACGGCCAACTGCCAAATTTCATCGACCAATTTTTGTATTGAGAGTCTACCATATCACCCTCCACAATACCGATATATATCGGAACCAATCAATTTCCATTCAAACATACCTGAAGCTTATTACGTATTAGATAATCTCAGGGTTTACGGCATAAACGGATGCGTGATCCCTGACATCTTGATTGGCCTCGTACCATGTATTGATCCTCCTTTTTTGTATGTTTGTTTCAAAGTGAAATTATTATGAGATGCAATATCTATCGATTCTTATCGGTTGTTGGTGGCTATTGCCACTTATATTTGCAGTCTAAAATTTCTGAAGTAAGTGAAACACGATTCTCGTCTTATCAAATGAAGTTACAAATAAAGATAATGAATTCTTGCATGCTTTTCATATGCTTTCTTTCTGGTCAGTCGGACATCCGCATACACATCATCCTCAAGCGTGTTTTAGGATGTGTTATAAATTGACAGGAACAGAAAATCGTCATGAAGGGGTATTATGCTGGATATTTGGGTACAGAATAATGCATGTGCTCCACATTTAGATGTTCTACGCGAAGAGGCGCGATAGACATGCGATAGTCAAAGCCTATTCTCGCCTACTTTCACTTTTGAGCTGATACTATAAGACCACTTTCTTCTATGGGCTTGATAAACATTTTTCACTGACTAAAATACGTAAAATCAGCTGAAATTTAATGTTTTGACTAGACAATTCTGTTCTTTTGAATTGTGAAGAGAGCAGGTCGATCGAGGAGTTTATCGCTGAAAATCGCAGTTTGGAAAGGTGAAAGCTTATCTGAGTCGTCGAAAGAAGTTGGAAAATATTCTGAGATTGTTACTTGCGGTAGAGGACTATATGTCGCCGAAAAAGGGTGGTTCCCGCGGTCATTTGGACAAATACCCTTGTATAAGCTCCTGCAAGACGAAGGCGGTCGGTTCGAGGTACGACGTGGCTGTGACGCGGCTGTGACTCGGCTGTGACGCAGCCATGTCGCAGCCGCGTTGCGCATTGAATCGACCGCCTTCGTCTTGCAGGAGCTTATACATGCGTGGACATGGTTCCTGCAGGAAATCCGCGCGGGACTCTTCCACATTCGGTGGCATATAGTCCTCCACCTTATTACTTGCGCTCCATCGCCGCTGCGAGCGAAGAGTATCTGCGCGCGCGTTGCAGCCTTACTGCTCGAAACAACAGTGATACAGCCAATGTCAATAACGTACTCCCTTTTGCATGGGAACTACGCATGCGCAACGCAAGGCCCCTGCGGCGGACGTTCAATCGATAAAGCCACAGAGAATGCCCAAGCCATACGCGCGCGAACGTGACGCAAGCTCATTGCGCTTACGGAAAAGGGAGCACGTGATTTACAGGGACTGTACCCAGGCATGCAAAACCTTGGATAAAATACAAAGTTTGTTTATGGACTTACAGAAAAGTATCTTCTTGGGTGCTTTTGTAACGTTATTTTTAAAGCTGATTTACAAGACATTGACGTTTCTTAAAGTCACCTGTGATTCAATTGGCTTGGCGCCTGGAAGGCGGGGCCTTGTGACCTAATTACAGCCGCTCGCGGCTCGCTACGTCTCTTTCGCGCGCGTGCTCCCTGATCATTATCTAACCTTACTAGGTCACGAAGCCCCGCCTTCAGCCGCCAAGGCACTCGAATTAAAGGTGCTACTTTCTTTTGTTATGCTACTGCTTAGGCATGTTTATGAATGATTTACGTTCGCTCTTTAAGTTAAGAATCACCGTTTTGTATAGTATTGGACCATTTCGGAACAAGAGAAAAGGTTTCCACAAATATATTGCGTGTAGAAAGAATTGTACCTGCTTACAGAGTACATTTCAGCTGGCGAGATTGTTTAAAATCTTATCAAAAAATGAGACGAGCGAATTACGATTTCTTTGCATTTCTATGATAATGATGGGTGAGAACAGATGCATGCTTGAAGGATATATGGGCCGGTAATTTTGACGAATTTTACAACCTTACTGGATTCTCTAATCGTGCAGTATCCAGGTGATGAAGTACCTAGATTCGATGCAAATTGACTTAATACCGTATACTACTGTAGGAAAATCCTAAGGTTCTGTATCACTCAATGCGCCCTTGGTTCATTCTTTTCTTGCCTCGCAAAGTCAAGAAGAAGTCATAACCCTGCGCCGCGTCTGTGACGCATCGTTCGAGCATTTTGTCAAGCATCAGCGATGGTGCCGAAATTATGGAGTTTTGTCAGTCATTCTATTTCCCGCCCACCAGGTGCTGGACTGAAGTATAGTGTGGACCCCGGCCAGCTTCCCATAGGTACCTCCGCGGCGCGCCCGCAGCGCATGCCTTCAGTGCGCTTTTCGTTTCGGCTCTGAAGGATTTCTTTCAATTTTCTCTTTCAAGTGAGTTTGTTCTCCTATGTAATTTCTCTACTTTAGATGTAAACGACTCATATCAACTGCTGTGATGGATTTTTACGAGCCTTGACAGTCTTGCAAACTTTTGTTTCGAAAATCTCTCGTTTCTTTTTCAGTAGTGAAGATTTCGGTGTGGTTCAGTGGAATATCCTCTTCAAAGGTTCTTATCACAGAATAAGCGTATATGCAATTGATTCTGTGCAGTTTAGATGCCTCTAGTCTATTGATTACGCCATCAGGGCTTTGCAATCGTGCTCTTGAGCTCAAACTTTTTGAGTTTTTATGACCACAGAAGGAAAACTTTTTAGAAGTGTTCTTCGGCTTTTCCTGTTACTTCTCATCCACCGCTGGTAGTGTCATACACTACCAGCGATAGATGATAGAAGATTCCAGTCATCTATGAGATTGACTGGAATCTGAGCGCTAGTAGAAGTTGTGAAGGTTTTCTTACTGCCTTGGCTTTTCTCGAGTTCAGATTAGAGGCTTCCACATCTCAATTCACTTCTGTTTTCGGTCATAACGCTTTTTTGTTCGTAAGTGAAATGAGAAGCGTTAAGTCGGACGCGCGTTGCGTGTGCGCCGCGCTAGTACCTATGGGAAGCTGGCCGGGGTCCACACTATAGCACCAGCTGCCCTACGTACATCGTCTCGTAGCTTTCGCACAGACTTCTTCATCCCACTATTTTCTGTGTTTTTTAAATCTCTTCAGTATCTCCCCTACTCAACAGCAGTTCTAATTCTTCTATACTTCATTGTACTGAAGCGTGAATCCAATCCTGCTCGATTATTTTTTATATCCTTCCTTTCTAACTGATTCACTGACTTGCAGTAATGTAATGTTGATAAATCCGTGCTTGATAAATACCTTGTAAGATGGAGCTCATAAACACTTAGAGAAGAAAGCCGTTCCAGGATGAGTTAGAGTTTAGTATTACCGTCAAAGTTTGCATCAGGCGCCTACGGTGTTCAAGCATCATTTTGTCCCACTAATGTATAGGCTATCTCAACTGCAATGTTGGTTGTAGCAGCAGATAATCCCTCTAAACCGCCTCCCCTGAAACAATACTGACAAGGAAAGGATACTTAGTCGAAAGCACCGATCCAGATGAGACATATATCATTGTGACCTGCTCGGAGCGCTGATTTCAAATCTGGCAAAATCAGCTGGGGAGCGCCTTTGGGTAAGGAGCTATGACCGTTTCAAGAGCCAAAAAATTCAATGGGTAAAGAGAGTAAAAGCGATTGTTACAACATGTATATTTTGCAGACAGACTCATTTTAAATGTGTGTATAGCAGACAGACATTTCTCTTTGCGCAGAGTATTCTGACAGATATCACTCCCCCATTCGAGCCCAACTGGAGACTTCTGCGTATAATTTTTTTCCTCCCTCAACTTTAAATTTTCTTCACAAAAACAACCATAACTCGTTGCCCAAAGGCGCTCCGCAGCTGATTTTGCCAGATTTGAAATCAGCGCTCCGAGCACGTCCAGATGATATATGCATCATCTGGATTGGTGCTTTCGACTAACACACTTGTAAGTATCCTCTCCTTGTGAGTTCAGAACCTACAAGTGTAGTACTATTGAGAGTACAAGCACAGTAGACAAACGTACAGCTTCTACTCCACTGCATGATGAACAGGTTAGGAGCTACGAATAAAATCATCACATAGTAGAAAAACAACTGTATCACTTATACCAGCATGGTAATTTCACAAATTTGGGACGAGCATTTTTAAGGGTTATACAGGGTGTGCGGAAAATTCCCTCAAAATAAAAGTGGAAAATCTGCGCGATTTTCAGGTTTTTCTGGAAAATTCGACATAAATCTAAAACTGCGAGCACATTTCAGCATTTTGCATAAACGGCCCCAAAATTCTGCAATTTCACTTGGCGGCGGACCCCTGTAAGCAACGCATTCCATATAAATTCTTACAACTCTTTTCTGAAAAAATTGAATTGCAAAAAGTTTTGAAGCTTTGAACGCTGATTCCAAATATGCTGTTTCTAGCCGCTTAGCGTTATTCCGAAGCGAGTTATGGGCTTGCTGTTGTGAGTAGTTAACAGATTCTAAATCTCATGAGACGGTGTGTAGATCAGAATCTGCTCGAAAAAAGTGCTAGGATGTTAAACTAGCATCAGATTGATTCTTTCGATCTTGGAAGAGAGCATTATACATTTGCAAAACCACCTAGACGTCGACACCGTAGCATCAGTAGTCGAGGAGCACGCAAAATTTGCGAAAAGAGACCATAACTGCTTTGAAATAATGCTAAGCAGCTAGGAACAGCATATTTGGGATCAGCATTCCAAAGTGATTCCAATATGTGTCTCATCTCAAAAGGCGTATCTAAGTTAGATTCCGTCACTTTTCGTAGTATCTGGAGATCATAGTTTGGATCCAATTCATTGAGCAGGAGCAGTCTGATTGAAAACTTCTCGAGAATTTTTGCATTTGGACAAAACAACACGTTACCAATCTATAATTAATCTATAATAAGTATAGAATACTGGAGAAGAGGCATGCGCTAAACAAAAGCTTAAAGCTTTGTTTAGCGCATGACCTCTTCTCCAAGTGCTGGTGTTATAGTTACGGTCCAAAATCGCGCTTGTATGCTGTCGGCGCATGGTTAATGTTCTTGCGAGTTGTTATCACTTGTACGAACGAATAGAAAAAGTTTTGAATTAAACTTACCTTTATTTAATCCCAAGGATCTTGCCTACATATGGGAATCAAGAAACTACAGATTTCCTTCATGTTGAGGTATTTCAGGAGTGAAGCTAGAGGCGCAGTACTTTTTCCGCACCCTAATAAGTGTCAAAAAGAAAACGAAATGGCTAAGAAAACTTCATGACTGCCTCAGGCTTGGCAAAATGCCCAAACAATGTCTCAGATGCGGCGCAGAGTTAAGGAAAACGGGCGCGCGACCCGAGCTGCTTTCACACTCGAGGAGCAGTTGAAATAGTGCGCG